GCAGAATGTTGTATGCATAATAAATAAATAAAATCTTTAAAAAAAATAGTTAAATGCTTGGTCACTCATTGATAGAACAGTTTGACAAGGATTAGTAGGTCTGGACTTGTTGAAAGAAGTGTGTCACTAGGGGTGGGCTTTGAGGGTTCAAAAACTCATGATACTTAGTCTCTCTACTCTCTCTCTCTCTCTCTCTCTCTCTCTCTCTCTCGTATAAGAATGTAAGTTCACAGCTACTGAACCAGCATCATGCTTGCCTGTGTGCCTGCTGCCATGCTTTCCACCATGAAGGTCATGAACTCACCCTCTTAAACTGTAAGGTCCAATAAAATCATTATTCTATAAATTGTAGCTGGGCGTTGGTGGCGCACACCTTTAAATCCCAGCACTAGGGAGGGAGAGGCAGGCGGATTTCAGTGAGTTTGAGGCCAGCCTGGTCTACAAGAGCTAGTTCCAGGACAGCCTCCAAAGCCACAGAGAAACTTGAAAAATCAAAAAAAGAATACAAAACAAAAAGACAATAGAAAAGTAACTAAGACAGAGGATTGGGGAGATAATTCAGTCAGTTATATGTCTGTTGAACAAACCTGAGGGCAAGAGTTCAATCTCTAGCTTCCATGTGACACGCTGGCACACTGGGGAAATAGAGACAGGTGGATGATCACCAGAGTTTACTGGCCAGCCAGCCTAACCTAACTGGAAAGCTCCAAGTCCCTTTAAAAACAAGACACTCGCAGCCAGGCGTTGGTGGCGCATGCCTTTAATCCCAGCACTTGGGAGGCAGAGGCAGGTGGATCTCTGTGAGTTCAAGACCAGCCTGGTCTACAAGAGCTAGTTCCAGGACAGCCTCCAAAGCCATAGAGAAACCCTGTCTCAAAAATCCAAAACAAAACAAAACAAACAAACAAACAAACAAACAAAAAAACAAGACACTCCCTCTGGAGACCAAGCTGGCCTTGAACTCACAGAGATCCACCTGCCTCTGCTTTCCAAGTGCTGGAACTAAAAGTATACTCTACCATGTTGTCTGATCAAAAAGAAAACCCAAAAAACAAAAACCAAAAAGGTCAAGAGAGAGATGATTTTGCCTGTCATGTAAAGACTACAAGTTGCCTATCATAATCCACTCCCCCACTTTGTCACTTATAAGCTTTGTTGAGGAAGTTATACACCCCACCCTCAGCTGATGTAGCTACATCCTCCCCAAGGAACCCCCACAAGGAAGTATAAAAGTCACATACCCTGTACGGCAAGTACCTTCACACAGTGAGAGGGAGGGACCTTTTTCAGACATGTACAGACATGGATGTCTCTTGCCTGTAGTTCATCAGGCTTCTAGGTCTATGGCCTGAAGGCTGTTTCTGAGTTACCACTGCAACTCTCATGTTGGGAGGAATGGGGGTTCCAGTCACAGCAAGTATACTTGGCCAGTGCAATCATGGACCAGTTGGAAGGGTCCAGAAACAACACATTCAATGGCAGAAGACCTCAATGAGTGATGGATGCAGAGTTCATGAGGTTTCCTCTACCTACCCCTCTAGAGGGCAGTCAGCCATGCTTCCTGCCTCCTAGATCTCCAGTTGCCCCCATCAGTAACTTTCCAGCGTCTGTGTCCTTTACCAACTATCCTTCCTATCACTCCTGCCCTCCCAATCCCCTGTAATCTCAACACTTACCTTGGAATCAGTTTCTTGTAAAACCAAATCCAAAATGGCTACCCACTGTTACATTGTCTTCAGCTAGCATGTATTAGCAACATCCTAGGACATGGCAGAGTGACACAAGGTGAGAAATTGGGGTCCCTGATGTGCCACACAATCAACTGGGCATCTGATTCAGGGGCAGTGGGAGCACGTGCCTCAGGCCCAGGCAAGAGAGCAACACATGAACCAGAGCACAGTGATGTTTCAAGGTGGGTCCCAGAACTAAATTTACCACCATCTCAGGTAAGAAGGGAAACTGTCCACTACATGACTGTACTGGCCACCAGAGCTCCATCTGAACCTGCCTACAAAGCGACAGAGGGAGGAAAAATTCAAAGACAGAAGAGGATGGTGGTGGTGTATGACTGTAATGACATGTCTAGCTGCTTGGGAGACTTAGGCAGAATTATGAATTCAAGAATAGCTTGGGCCATGTAACAAGAACCTGTCTCTATTTATTTATCTATTTATTTATTTTGGTTTTTCTTTGTGTAACAGCCCTGGCTGTCCTTTTAACTCACTCTGTAGACCACACTGGCCTCAAACTCACAGAAATTCACCTGGCTCTGCCTCCCAAGTGCTGCCATTAAAGGCCCAGCCCCATCTCAATTTATAAGATAACAGAAAAGATGGAGGGAAAGATGACAGGGCTATTTCTTGAGCACTATATCAGGCCATCCTGAAACTTGAGCTTTTAAAAGTTTTTGCCCGTCGGGCGTGGCGTGTGTAGGTGCCATAGTGTCCATGTGGAGGTTCAAGGACGACTTGTGAGTGTCAGTTCTTTACTGTGTGGTTGTAGAGGGTAACCTTAGTGTGTCTGGCTCGGGAACAAGCACTTTTTGCCTGCTGAGCCATCTCAGAGGCCTAGAACCTTAAGATTTCCAGCCCTAATTCCAGCAGGTCTTCCTGAGGGAGGCTTCCTGCCAGCTATTGGTCATGGATGAAGTATGCAAACCTTTGCTAATGCCATTTTAAACTGGGTTTCTGTCACCTGCAACTGAGCAAGCTGTTTAATAAAAAACTTAGCCCTGTTGGGAGCACTACCTTATTCACAGTACCTGTGTGACACCAGAGGCAGTCAGCCACACACTTCCAGCCAGAGCAGCTCACTTTGTCACCATCCAAACCTGCCTAACTAGGGAAAAGCGAGCCAGCTGACTTTCAGACTCTGTGGCAAGAGCTAGGAGCCCATGTCAGAAGCTTGTCCTCTGAAGTCAGGGTGGAGCCCTGAACGACGGCTGCACCCAGTGCCACATGAAGTCCCAAGTTCAGCCCCTGCCGATGCTTATGCCTTGACCATAGCGGTTCAACTGTAGCTCTGAAACTGTAAGCCACCCACCTGGTGCTTCAGGAGAGGCAGGACAGACACCTGTGGTGATCTGCAGATGGCCAATGACGTAAGCATCCTCAGGCATCGGACGAGAGACGACCTTCAAAGCCTCTCTGACCCCTGTGCCTTTCTCTGCATGGTTCCAGTTGAACCTGAAACATTTTCTCTGCTTTGAAGGAAGAATAAGGAAAAGAGGCATTTGGACCAGATCTGAAGATCTGAAGGTCTCGGCACTGACTCACAGAAACGGGGTTGCTGACCCTTGGGGTGTCCTACAGATGTTCCAGATGACACCTGCACAGTGAAGGGCACCCAGGTTAGTGACTAGCACATCATTAGTGCTCCCCAGATCCTCTCTTCCAGAAGCAAAGCCATGGTTGAAAGAGAAACAGTAATGTATCTCAGATGTTCAGCCCTTGGCATAATGCCTTGGTCTGAGTATGGGGAGAAGAAAGCAGAAGAAGGTGAAACTGAGGGAAGAGAAGGTGAAGGGAGAGGGTAAGAAGGGGAAGGATGGAGGTACAGAGACAGGAAATAAGAAAATGGTCATGTTATTCAAAATTCCCCCTAGACCAAGGAGGCCAGCCAAGGTCTAGAGTCAGGACTAGGCAAGGAAAGGCAAGGACAACATGGGCTGGTCACCGCCTCCCAGTCAATCCAGGGGAAGTAGGCTGTCACAGGCTGTCAAGACTTTCTTGGCTAAGGGGCTTCCCAAGGGAGGGTCTGGGCCCTTCCTGCTGCACAGTGGCCATGGAAACCACCTCCTTACCCACTCAGCTTGCAGCTTCCCCTTTTCCTCTGTTGTGTCCAAAGGTAGCCTTGACTGTTAACCTCTCCCACATCTAGGAATGGAACTCTAAGGTGAGGAGAGAGGGAGGTGTTGCTCAAGGTTGCTGCATTCCCTGTCCGGCTCCCTGGAGGAGCCGTCTGCTGCCCAGCCTCCCAGTAGGTATGCCTCAACAGGTGTACTTCATGCCTGGGCTAGTTTCTCATGCTCCAGGGCTTGTCACATGCTTCACCTAGGGCCAGCCTCCAGGGAGGAAGAAAAGGGAGGAAGAAGGGCCCTTAATCCAGCAAGTCCTAGCCCATAAAGCCAAAGACCACAGGAACCCCAGGATCGCCAAGAGAATGATGGGTTCTTAAATGTTGCACCTCCAGACCCATCTATCCACAACCAGCCTCTCGGTGCTGGTCTTAGCCTATCAACCAACCATTTGTCCTACTCAACTGTTAAGATTTGTCTCTTTAAATCCTCTCCACCAAGACAGAACCATCAACCTCTTTCTGGATTATTGAGTCAAGTATCAGGTAAACCCTCAACATGATAGCTGAAACTCAACACTTTTTTTTTTTTTTTTTTTTTTTTTTTTTTTTTTTTTTCGAAACAGGGTTTCTCTGTGTATCGTTGGAGCCTATCCTGGCCCTCGCTCTGGAGACCAGGCTGGCCTCGAACTCACAGAGATCCTCCTGCCTTTGCCTCCGTAGGGCTGGGATTGAAGGCATGTGCCACCACCGCCCGGCTCTATTTTGTTTTTTAAAGAGAAGTTTCACATGAACATTTCATTTATTAAAATAGTTTCTGTAAACTCTTTCAGAAGAATATACATTTTCCTTGCTTGAGTAGCGTTTCAAGGCACCATAAGATGATGGTCTCTTTAAGAACACCCCTCTTTTCACATGCAAAAATTCCATTAGAAAAAAAATACACGTAACACAGACACACACACACACAAAACCCGTACCTGATCTGAGCCACCAACAAAACAGACACATAGTACAGGGCCTGTTGTGGCAGAACGATTGACAGTTTTGGGGTGCATCTTATTGCTGATGTCCCAAAGAAAAGAGAGGTGGACTGAACAGTTGTCACTAAAAAGAACCAGAGGAGCAGAGGAGAGGTACACCTCAGAACCAAAAGTCCGAGTAAACATGGCACCAGGCATCTCTCCTTTGCTTTCTCTTGCTCTTCACTTTTTCTCCTCCTCTTCACTCAGGGTAGAATTCTCCTGCAGCGGCGATGTCAGCTTATTCTGCAGAAGGGCTGCCAGCTTTTTGGATGTCTTTTTGAGAAATGTGCTACCTGGATGGGCACTGTTCACATGCAGATACAGGTCCTCCTGGGTGGGGCCGGTGTAGCCGCAATCCTCACACACATAGAGTTTATCCCGACGCTGCTTATAGGCATACTGCTGCTGCACACCGTGGATCTTCTTCAGGTGGGACTCCAAGGAACATCGCTGGGTGAAGGCTTTGTAACAGACATCACATTTGTAGGGGCGAATGCCTGCAAGGATGAGGGGCAAACACGTCACCAGCTGGTTATAGCCAAGCCGAAGCTTCCCTCCTATGAAGCCACTGAAGTTTCCCACAACCAAGATCTTTGACAATGAGGAAAGCGGAGCCAGAATCATCTAGAAGGGTCCTGGCATCTATATGAACAAACCTAACACAGTTGGGAACCAATGAGGCAGGAACCCAACACCTGACTCTGTGAGAAGATTTATATTCTTCCCACTGCTCTGCCTTAAGGTCAATGACGTTTTCATTTTATGTACTGTGGGTCTTCCTGGAGACAGACGCTGAGACAAAGATCCTAGAGCAAGTTTATTGGAGAGACCATCCCAGGAATGAAGGAAATGAAGGCAATGAAGGAAAAAGACACAGAAGGGAAGAAGCCAAATAGTGAATTGTGCTGGGCATGACAGGAAATGGTGCAGGGCACTTACACTGAGCTAAGCATCTCAGGGAACAGATGAAAGAAGAACTTAGGTGGGGGGGGTGTGTGTGTGACAGCTCAGCTGGTGAAGTGCCTGCTTTGTAAGCAAGCCCAAGGGTCTGAGCTCAACCCTAGAACCTGTATTTACAAAAAGCAAGGGATGGGTGTGGCGGCTGACAGATCCAAAGGAAACTCCATTTGATTAATGTTAAAACTCTGACCTCTAGAAGTCTTACTATAACAATAGCACAGTGGGAGGGAAAGAAATTTGAAACATTCTCATTTGCTTAGAACTATGCTTGTAGTCATGCTAAGTGCAAATGTAATTGATTTACAATGGCACACACCTTTAATTCCAGCACTCAGAGGCAAAGGCAAACTGGTGTCAGTCTGGGCTACACCATGAAACCCTGTCTTAGGTTTCTAGGAATCAGTGACAGGTGGGATCCCTGGCACTTACTGGCCAGCCAGCCTAGCCTGACTGGCAAGTTCCAGAGACAAGTGAGAGACCCTTTCTCAGAAAAGGAAGGGGGTGCAATGAGATGACTCAATGGCTAAAGTAGGTAGCCACCAAGGCTGAACATCTGAGTTTGGATACTGGAACTCACCTAGTGGAAGGAAGGAAATGAATTGGCTCCCATAAATTGTCCTCTGACCTCCAAACTCACACATGGCAAGCACAGGCAGGCACCATACACGCACGCACGCACGCACGCACGGAGAGAGAGAGAGAGAGAGAGAGAGAGAGAGAGAGAGAGAAATAGAGGATACTTGACATCATTGGCCTACCTCTGGCCACCACATGTTTGTGCTCACACATAAAGATTACTCAGTGTAGGGCTGGAGAGATGGCTCAGAGGTTAAGAACAATGGCTGTTCTTCTAGAAGTCCTGAGTTCAATTCCCAGCAACCACATGGTGACTCACAACCATCTATAATGAGATCTGGTACCCTCATGGCATGCAAATCTACAAGCAGAACACTGTATACATTATAAAGAAATAAAATCTTAAAAAAAAAACTGAAAAAAAAATCAGAATTTATTTATTAAAAAAAAAAGATTACTCAGTGTATTGTGTTATTTTTTAAGTGAAATGCTGTATGCAGTGGTGGCCTGGAATCCCAATTAGAATGTGGGGACCTCCTGGGCTACTCTATATAGGGAGATCACACCAGGAAGAAGTAGGGAGACATTTAAATCAGGTCCAGAAGCCCATCACAGCACACACAACCTAGGTCCCACATAAGAGAGAATCAGGTCCAGAAGCCTATCACAGTACACACAACGTAGGTCCCACATAAGAGAGAATCTGTCTTTTTGTGTCACTTATTTCACTTCACATGAGGATTCCCAGTTCCATCTTCCTGCAGATGACATAATTTCACTCTTTTTAAGGTTATGATACTCCTGTGTGTGTGTGTGTGTGTGTGTGTGTGTGTGTGTGTGTGTATGTGTATGTGTGTGTGTGTGTGCATGCGCGCGCATGTATACAAGAAAAGAATGCTTAGGTCCTAGGTTTGGAGCTTCCTACTCCAGGGGTGACCCAGACCACAGTGGGTCTAGCATGTGCAGAACCTATCACTTGTCCCGTAGTATTTAACACACAGTCTGCACATGCCTTTTATGGGCGGAGCACCCAGCAAAGCTTCGAAGACAGGGTTAGGGGACTTTAGAGTCCACTGTCATCTGGCCAGTAAAGAAATGGGGTGACTAGGAGGTTTTCCCCAAGAGGGTATAGTGTAGACGCTGGACCTGGTTTTGAGGCTGATTGCCCTGTGAGGTAGACACAGGAGACAGACCATAATAGCTCTAGTTACAACACTTCTGCCTTATAAACCTGATTCCTGCCCCAATGTTCCTGCTTCCTCTTCTGACTCCATGATCTCATTCCTGCAGACAGATGTCTTGTCAAAAAAAACCTCTCCTTCCGGGGCTTGGGAATTAGAGCCTCACTCCTGGAGCAGTGTTTTCCACTCCTTCAAGGGAATGAAGGTAGACTTGAAAGGCCTTGGATGGACACTATGCTCCCCTCCCCCAGCAAGCCCTCACCCATCTCTCACTCTCTAGCGAAAGCCAATCTTGTCCTAGTCAAAAGAACAGGCTGGGGACTGAAAGCACCACCTGTTGCCAGACATAATTAACCTACTGACACCTACCCGAGTTCCAAAGTCCAAGGCCATTGAAAAGTCTGGCACTGCACATCTGCCACTCATTAACGGAGTCCACAGTCAGTCTGTTAACCCCTCCACAGCTCAAGTCTCCTCATCCACAAAACGCAGATAGTACTCACACCCAGGGACGGCTGGGCTGAGCATTAACTGAGCTATCACAGGACATGGTGAACACTAGGTATTCAGGGAGATATGACCTCAGTGTTTAGAATCCAGATCAACTCAACGGAAACACGACAGGCAGGAATCAGCGGACATATTTCTAAGTATTTAGTATTTGCCTTTCAACTACATCTTTTATGTATATTAATGTATTTCACAACAACAAAAAAGAATTTTTAAAAAAGTGACTGGGATTGATATGTAAAATAATCTTGTTTCTAATTTAAATAAAAAATGGAGAGAAAGAAAAAAAAAGTGGTTGTTATGAGGGGAACCTGGGAGGACTCCATGGCAGGGGAGGGTAACCAAGGTGGGAACAGATAAACATGCAAGACAGAGCTTAGTAAGTTTTATTAGGAAGGGCAAGGGGTGGGAGAGAGAAAAGAGGTAAAGAGACACAGAGAGGACAGAAGAGGGAAACAGGAGCAGTCCTGTCTGCCCCAGGGGAACAGCAGCAAAGGGAGAAGGAAAGAGAACCTAAGTGGGCACGGTCTTTCTTTTAAAGGGGTTCTTTGCACCTGCGTGCAGACTAGTTAGTAGTCATGGAACCCTGGGCTGACCAGGGTTCTGCCTGAGTGCATTTTGCCAGGTTACAAGGGCAGGCCAGCATAATGCCTGAATCTTTGTTTTGTTTTGTTTTTGTTTTTTGAGACAGGGTTTCTATGTGGCTTTAGAGGCTGTCCTGGAACTTGCTCTTGTAGGCCAGGCTGGTCTCGAACTCACAGATCTGCCTGCCTCTGCTTCCCGAGTGATGGGGCTAAAGGCATGCGCCACCAACGCCCGACAATGCCTGAATCTTTACAGTGGTCCCTAGATGACTAGCAAAGATGTCCCTCGATGACTTATCTTTTGAATCCTCTATCCTAAGCCTTTATTACTTAGTTCAAAAAAAAAAAAAAAATTCTTGTGGGGGTTAACAAAGACTTTTGAGTTGTTTATTCCTAACCCTAAGCTGAGTTTATATCCCACATCTCCAGGTAAATCCCTCACTGCTGGAACTTTCTGTCACGTTCCCTTCCTCTGGTCTAGTGCTCCGTTCCTGACTTTGATCCAACTGTGAACTCTACAACAAGTTTTGCCACCGGCCTCCTTGTGGGAGTAGACATTAAGGGCGTCCTCCCAGGAAGGCAAGCAGGCAATGCCCATAAGCCCAGAACTTTGGCCTAGTAAGTTCGCTTGTGGGAAGTTCCGTTAGAGACAGACTCACCACTGGTGGGCAAAGGATATACAGGAAAAATCCATTGTGGTGTTGTCAGAATTAAATAAAACAGAAGGCAGGGGACACATCGCCAGAGCCTGAAAATGGAAGCAAATATTTCTATTGGGGAACTAGAAAAGGACTGTGGCTCTGTGATGGAAATTTTGTCATGATTTTGTACTAAATGGCCAATGATGAAAAGGAGTAAGGTACATCCACTAGGTAGACTCGAAGCAAGGCCCAAGGTCTAGGTCCCATGACAGCAGCTGCATGCTTTAGAGGCATCCAGGAGAAAAAAACAAAACAGTAACAACAACAAAAACAAATGGCAAATCGCTTTCAGAAAGGAACTAGGGCTGTATGGAAGCTTGCCTTTTAAAAATCTTATTTTCAATTTCCCCCATAAAAAATTATCTTTTTGGCTTAAAAAAAAAAAAAAAGTAAGTTAAACTAAAAATGAAACCGTCGAGGAGGCAATCCCACATGCGAGCTGGGGCTCTTGGGAATGGATTCCTCTCTTCCTCAGCTAGCAGCCCTGCCTTAAACGTCTGATCTGCATTTTTCCCAATCCAGTCAATCCTTCTCTTTAGGCTCCAAACAAAGAACACCATTGTCTCCTCAGCTGTAGTCAGGCTGCGGTTTGTTTGCCTTCTGGCCTCTCTGAATGTAGCCCCTGATGTAAGATAAGGCAAGAGGGCCCCCTGGCCTGTGGGCAGCCCCTCCCGGGCCCTGACCTCAAATTGGAATTCCTCAGGTTCTCTCTATGGAACTCAGTCCACAGGAAAGGCATGGGCCTCTTACTTACTTCATCTGGAGCTTCAAGGTTCTTTTAAATTTTTTTCTGTAGCCCAGGCTGGCCTCAAACTCACTGTGTAGCTGAAGAAAACCACGAACAAACATCTTGATCCTCCTGCCTTCACTTGGGAGTTTGAGGCCAGCCTGGTCTACATAGTAAGTTCTAGGTCAGCCAGAATTACAAGGTAAGAGACTGACCAAATAAATAAATAAATAAATAAATAAATAAATAAATAAATAA